CATGTGCATGAGCGATTCTAAGATCAGGTTTGCCAGACCTCCCCACTGGAAAACGAACATCGGACGTTTCAAATCTCAAATAAATCTCGAAACACACTTGAATGCTCACTTGGCAGGTAACATATGCGCCGCGCGCCCCAACCGCTCCTCTGGTCGCCGCCGGCCTCCGCGGCGGCGGCGATGTCCCAGCGCCACCCATCGGCCAGCCCTCAGATCGATCGATCGGCGCTCAAAGTCGGCTTCAGATCCGAGAACGCTGCTGGCGCCGCCGCCGATCCCAGCGGCGACGCCAGCAGCTTCCTCTGCTCTCCAATGCGCCGAGAAGCGACGCGGGGGTGCTCGGCCCGCCATGGACGACGAAGGCTCCGCCGGGCGCGCGTCGGCCGGTCCGGTGGCACCCTCTGGAGCAGGCGGACATCGCTTCCAGGGAGGGGGGCGTGCTTCTGCTCACACCACATGCTAGGGGGGGGGGGTCCGACCCCCCCCAGAGGCTTCACCACATGCTAGGGGGGGGGTCCCGCCCCCCCCAGCACCTTCACCACATGCTAGGGGGGGGGTCGTGGCCGAGGACCCCCCCAGAGACTCGTGGTCAGACCCTCCGGGCCCTTGATTTTACGCCTCATTTCGCAGCATTTTCGAGGGGGAAATCATCCTTTGGAGCTACATGAGCCTTGAGACTGGTCAGATTCTCCAAGATATTGGACTTTCAGCCACGATTTCACAACTTTGGGGGCAAAATCGGCTCTCTGCACTCTGGCGGCTATTCCTAGCCCACGAACTGCTGGGGGGTGCCCACCACATGCTAGGGGGGGGGTCCGACCCCCCCCAGAGGCTTCACCACATCCAAGCGGGGGGGGTCCCGACCCCCCCAGCGCCTTCACCACATGCTAGGGGGGGGGTGGAGCGTGAGCAGAAGCACGCCCCCCTCCCTGGAAGCGATGTCCGCCTGCTCCTGCGCGCGGCACCTGGACCTGCCGGCGCCCCGACGACAGCCGTCGCGCCACCGCTGATGGAGGGGCGGTCGGCGCCGCTGCCGCCGCGCCGCCGGTGGGAGGGGCACTGGTGGTGGCCTGGGCGGCCCTCCGCCGCCGCTCGGGGCGCCCGGGCAGCGGTGGCAGCCTCAGAGGGGAGCGGAGAAGCGGTTGGGCGGGCCCTCCTGGCTAGTGCCATTTCACTGTGGCACAGCTCGCGTTACAAAACCTTGATTTTGACCATTTGCGAACTATTGTACCTCTCGGTGCCCAGTGCCATCCCTGATCTTAGAATCGCTCACAGTTGTGCATATGCAAGATACACAGAGATCGCAGCCGCCGTTGACGTCCAGGGTCCACCCCTCCGTACCGTAACGGGCCGTAACTCCGGACGAATCGGAATCGCACACCGACCGGCTGACACACAACTCTAGAATTCCCGTTCGAATGCCGCGGGCTCCGACAGAGCCGTGGGTGCGACCGGGGGCGAAGCGCCAAGGCGCGCCTCGAGCAATCCCACGATGGCCCTCCTCAGCTCCGTGTAGTGATGATGCTCAAATTGCCCGCTTACCTCGAGCGGCGATTGCCCGTCGTGCGGCCTGCGAGGGTCCGCCCCCGCCTCGAGCAGCGCCTCGACCGTATCCACAGCCAACGCTCTGCACGCCAACCAAAGGCAAGGCGCACCCGACGACGACGTTGTCTCTGGCGAGACTCTGTCCTCGAGGAGCCGCTTCGCCTGGGGGCGCAATTCATTCCCCAGAGACCTGCTCTGGCTCACGCGGACGAGAGCGGCACACTTCCTGCTCCGCCGCGCCACGTCCGCCAAAGCGCGCAACGCCGCGGCCGTCGTGTACTCGACGGGCGGGGGGTGCGTCCTCGGCAGAAGAGGCAAGTACTCGGTTAGCATGCGAAACCGCTCCTTGGGGTGCGTGGAAAACGCTCCCTGCCTGTGGTCGAACGCGTCGCCTCCCAACGGCGGTTTCACCGCGTTGGGGTCGGCTCCTGATGGGGAGTCGTAGCCGTCCTCCTCGACGTCCTCCTCGGACGGCAGCGACCCCTCCTCCTCGACGTCCTCCTCGAGCGGCTGCGACGACGACGACGCGGCGGCGCCTCCAGTGCCGCGGCCGCGCGGTATCGGGGCGTTCACAAGATATCGGGAATGCTTGGGCTCGTCGAACTCGGCGGGGGACACGCAGAGCCACGTGAACAGCTCGCCTGGCGCATCAGCAGAGTCGGCCGTGGGGAAGAGCCGCCGCAGCACGCGAGGGAGAGGGACGCCATCGTGCAGCGCGGCCATCTCGGCCGCCAAGCCGACGGCCGCGCAGAAGGAGGGGATGTCCGCGCGCGCCGCCCACCGCCGGGACGCCAGCTCGGCGAACCTGAGCAGCTGCGACTTGTGCACCGTCCACGTCGGCCCGTCCGGCAGCACCGCCTCGACGAGCGCGTACGTGCCGCTCGAGTCGGAGATGGGCGGCACGTGGTGAAAGACGTCGGTCACGACGACCGGGTAGCGGTGCCACGGGTGGGCGGGCGGGTCGAGCGCGGGCGGCTTCTGGAAGAGCGTGCCGTCCCCCTTGTGGGCCTTGGTTGGCCGTCTGAGGTGCGGCTCCTCCGAGACCCAGGCGATGACGCCCCGCTTCACCTTGCGTACCAAGAGCTCCTCCTCCGGCCGCTGGTCGCTCGACCCCTTCGACGCCCTGGCGCGGTCACGCGCGCGCGCCTTGCCCGTCTCCGACTTGGTGCCCGACGTGTTGTGCGGGGGACGGTACCGTCCCTGTGCAGGGGAGGCGGAGGAGGGATGCCGAGGCGGGCGCGGCGCGGCGCTGCGGGGGAGGGCGGTGGGCGCACGTCGGGCATGTGCTTGAGGAGGCCCATCGCGGCGTCCTCCTTGCTGAGGCCGACCGGGACGATCGGCCGGCATTCGCCGACCTTGATCCACTTGCCGTCCGAGCGGGGCAGATTTGTAACCGGGCTGGTGTCCGAGGCGAGCATCGAGACGGGCAGCATGGCAACCTCCGGCTCCGCCGAGTAGCGCACGTCGTAGCGCTCGCCCCCTCGCTGCGCCTTGCTGTGGCGCAAGCCGACCTTTGGGAAGGGCTTCCCGGCCAGCGGCTCGTCGGGCACCACATAGGTCTCAAACAGCTCGTACTCTCGCACGCCGGTCTGGTGACCGCGCAGCGCCTTGTGAATCTGACAGCGGGAGAGCGGATCGGGCAATGTGGGTCGGGTGCGGGCGGATGGGTGGAGGGCAACGTGCGCAGGCCACCTCAAGCACAGCGGCGGTGTAGTTCGACCACGACCTGCCGACGAGCCAGCGAAGCGCTTCGAGATCAGGCCGAGTGCCGTCCGGATTGACCGCGATGCACTTGGTGTGGCCGTATACGAAGAACTCGGCGGACACGATCTCCAGGACGACGAGCCTGTCGTACGCGATCCGCCCTCCCAGGGGGCGGCACTCTCGCCAGGCGCACTCGATGCGCTGCGTGCGCATCTCTGTGTCCTGGATTCGACACTTCAGCACCAGCAGGTGGGCTTTTTTAGTACTCGAGTACCAGCAGGTGGGCTCGCTAGTCGCTCGCCGGCCCGCGCAGCACGCGCGGGCCTTTTTTGTGGTCGGATGTTGGTCGTCTCGAATTTGATCGTGGGCAGGGCGTGAGAAAGCTGGACGGCTCGGTCGATGCGAGCCACTACCTGGTTTTTGTTTTGGCATGGTACGGGACCCCTCGATCGTCTCGCCCTCCCTCACTGGTGTGTTCATTGGGTGGGGTCATAACAAACACGCCACGGGATAACAAACCAAGCCCGGACTGCCCCCCCCCCCCCCCCCCGCCCCACCACCACCACCACCCACCCACCCACTCCCATCCCCAATCCCGCCAACCAACCCGCGCGCACCCTCACCGTCGCCTCGCGCTGTGCGTCGTGATCCGCAGCCGCAAGGTCTGTCGCTCTCTGCCGTGCTCGCGCGTCGGCCCCGCCGGGCCCCGCGCCCTTGCTGCCCGGCCGAGGCTGGAGAAGTCATTCGAGGTCGATGCCGCGGTCCTCGCACACGGCCACCAGCTCAGGCTGCTCCTCGCTGCCCACGAGCAGCGTCTGCACGCGAGGGGAGGTGCGATGAGCATTGGGCGGGGGAGGGGCGTGTGGCGAGGGGGGCGTCACGCGCCTTCAGGCTCGGGGCGGCCCCCTCCTTGAGGGCGGCGGCCAGCGCCTTGCAGCCCTCGTCGCCAATCTCGTCGTTGCAGAGAGAGAGCTTCTCGAGCCGCGGCGCTGCCCCCTCCTTGCCGAGGGCGGCGGCCAGCGCCTTGCAGCCCTCGTCGCCAATCTTGTTGCCAATAGGGTGGAGCGTCCAGACATTCCTTTGTTACGTAATTTCTCGGGATCGGCTGAAGCCGTTTTGGCCCGCTGGGCCACGGCGACACGCAGAGCCAGCTGTTGCCGAAGAAGGTTGAGGCCTTTGCAGGTCAGCGCGTCGTCGCTGTGGCGGCTGGAGGTCTGCACAACCTCGCCCTCACTGCTGACGGCGCCCCCTTTAGCTGGGGCTATGGAGGGGAAGGCCAGCTGGGCCACGGGGAGGACCGGCGGCAGCCGTTGCCCAAGAAGATCGAGGCCTTGGCGCCGGGGCAGTGAGGTATCGGGCGCTCTCCGTCACTCTCGACAGACAACACATTTCCTCTACGCGCGCGCACTGCGCTGCAAAGACGGCACGCCTCGCGATGAAAGTCGTCGAGAGGGAGAGCAGGAGAGGCGCGGCGAAGTGCACGAACATGTTCGGGCTCCTGCGCCCCCTCGGGTATTGCAATGTGTCAAATAATCTCTTCAAGATTCCTCGTACCTCAGACACCATCCTCCTCTAGCGCCGTAAGACACCTGAGAGTGCGAGCTTTATTGCTCCGACCGAGCATCGATTACGGTGCCTGGACACTTGCCTGGACAGTGCGCCGCCACAGGCCGAAGCTGGGGCGGGGACGGCAGGCGGGGGCGCAGAAAGATCTCAGCGGTAGGGCCGACAGGTTTATGAGGCGGTGCACCTCAAAAGTAGCCGACACAGCGGTCGCACCCAATGCACCGCCCGCGGTGCTTTTTGAGGCAGAGGTTGTGCATGTGTTCCCCAGCGTTGCCGATGGTCCAGCCCTCAGCAGCCCATCGGCCCCCAAAGTTCTTGCAGAAGACGCACTTCTTTGACAAACCTGGCTTCTTGACGGTCTTGCCGATCGGCGCCTTCTCCGTCTTCTTGACGACCGCCAACGCATTGTCGGCCTCCTCCTTTGCCGTGGAGACGGCTGCGTGGACTGGCACCGCGTCACCCTTTGCCCACGCAACGAGCAGGCTCTGGTCAGATGCGGAGAGGGTTGCAAACCCCGGGATGACCGCCACGTTGGCTTCGCGGACGGCGGGGTTGCCTTCGGGCTTGCGCGACACGCACGCGACGTGCCACCAGGAAGTCGTCTCATAGCCGCGTTGGTCGCGCTTTGTCTTGCCAATGCGGACGGTGTCCTTTGCAATCTTCGTATCGCAGCCCTTGCAAGTGGAGCGATTGGACTTGGCGTACTCCGTGACAAACGATTCAGATGGCGGGCGGAACATCTTGGGACGTGGCAAGTGTTGCGCTGCAAGTGCCGCAAGACCCAAGACGCAAGAGTCTCGTCCGGTCGCAAGTCACGCCCTTAAGATTTCGTCGAGGAGAGCGTCCATAGACACCCCACATGACCCCACACGCGTGCGCGGCGGGTGTTTCTTTTTTGTGTTGCCCCCTGATTGCACGCGACCCAAGGCGTCCGAGAAGAGCGGCATGTCGAAGACGAGCGGCATGTCGAAGACGAGCACATCGACGGCGTCCGTCGACGCACTGCCCGAGGAGCTTCTGCAAGCGTGTCTCGCCGCGATCAAAGCTCCTCGCAACTTTGCTGCCGCCGCCCAGGTGAACACACGATGGCACGCGGCCAGCAAACTGTGTGCGCACTGGGCCGGGCATATTATGCTCTGCAAGCTCGCGCGGCGGGATGTCATGCCTCTCGTCGTTGGCGCGCCCGACGGCCGCACGTGTATCGATAGCGCCGCCTTCTACGACAAGTATAGCTGCCACGTTGACGAGGAGGAAGGCAGCCGCGGCGTGTGCATGAGCGCCGCCGTACACCCTGCAGGTTTGCTCTACACGGCCCACGAGCACTGGATGGTCGGCCTCGACGCCATCGACCTGCACACGACCATCATGCACGTGTGGGACGTGCGACCGCACCATCAAGAGCCGAAACTGCTGCATAGTTTCTTTCCGGTGGATCACCTCTGCTCGGATGCCAAGATCAGCATGCACATCGACGGCGACTTTCTGGGCGTGGCCTGTCCACTCGGCGGCCGGCCACAGATTCGGCACGCGCTGCGCCCCGCCGCCCTTCCGGGGACGATTCTGCAATCCAAGCTCCAGCTGGATCTGGCCATCTCCGCAGACGACCGCACCGCCATGGCGATGCACCTCCGCGCCGCCTCGAGAGACTTGTTTGTCGGCTACTACTCTGGCAAGGTGGCCTACTTTGACCTCGAGAGTGGCGTCTGTATTAATTTCATCAACGGCATGGCGAAGCTCGTGACGGGCATCGCGTCTCACGGCACGGAGGTCTTCATCGTCGGCCGGGGCGCGCAGGACCGTGCGTGTGTCAGCATGTGCACCACGGCCGAGATGCCCTTCGGCGGAGTAAGGGGCGGAGTTCCTGTACAGGAACTCCGCCCCAGACTGCTCCGCCCGTGGGGTGCCTTCCTGTCTGGAGGGCATCAGGACAGGTACAAGCTCCTGCCCTCCGAAGACTCGCCCATGCAGCCGAATGCGCTGCTGGTGGACGGCGAGCGCCTGCTCGTGGGCGCGAACGACCGCATCTACGTGTGGTCAGGGCTCGAGCAGCCGCAGGACGCGCCACCCGCACTGGCACATGTGCTCGAGGTGCAGCACAGCCGGAGAGGTGGCGGGCGGAACATCGACGGCGTGTGCGCGCTCGCCGTCGCGCCCGAGCGCGAGCAGATGTTCGTCGGCATCAACGGCGTGCATGGCTTCGCGGACGGCTCGGGCCCGCCCAACACCGAGTGCACGGTGCAGGTGTGGCACCTCCCGTGCATAGACCTTGGCGGCTCCTCCTCTACCCCGTCGTGCCTGCACGTGCTGCCCGCCGGCTGCATGGGTTCGATCACCGCGATGCTGCTCGTGAGCGGCGGCGCGCGGCTCTTCGCGTGGAGCAGCGACGAGATGCTCCGCGTGTGGCAGATCCATCCCGAGGAGGGCACGGGCACTGCGCAGGGCGCCGCTTCCTCGTCGTCTGCAGCCGCGCCGCCGCCTGCGCCGTGGGAGATTGGTGGCGGTGCCCTGCACCCTTCGCTCGCGGACGGGCGCGGCACCCTGACTGAGGAGGAGCCGTGGGAGTGGGATCCCGGCTCGGACGACGAGTCTGAGTCTGGGGACGACTTCGGCGTGGACGAGGAGGACGAGGACGAGGAGGACGAGGAGGACGAGGAGGACGAGGAGGACGAGGAGGACGAATACGAGGACGAGGACGACGCGTGGGACTGAGGAGGAGGAGGACGACGAGGACCTTGCGCCGTGAGCTCGCTGACGTCGCCAATGGTACAGCGCAATTAGACAGATTCGTTTGCTCGTACACATCCCGGCGTCACCACACCGAAAATTCACGAAAGTGCGCACTTTCGCGAATTTTCGTTTGCAGCTCACACTGTGCAGGCATGTAGATCGCTCCTGCAGCTGAGGTGTGTGTGAGCGGTGAGCGGTGAGGGGGCGCCGCCCGCGGGCGCATGTTGTGTACCGGCGCGATCGCACGGTGCCAACCCCCAGGAACTCCAGTATGTATGTGGGTGGGTTCGAATTCACGAAAGTGCGCACTTTCGCGAATTTTCGTTTGCAGCTCACACTGTGCAGGCATGTAGATCGCTCCTGCAGCTGAGGTGTGTGTGAGCGGTGAGCGGTGAGGGGGCGCCGCCCGCGGGCGCATGTTGTGTACCGGCGCGATCGCACGGTGCCAACCCCCAGGAACTCCAGTATGTATGTGGGTGGGTTCGGGCTCCTGCGGCCCCTCGGTATTGTCTGCTGGTTTATACGGTCTCAGGCCGGCAGGCAGATTTTGTACGCGAGCTGTGCCACAGTGAAATGGCTACCCGCTGCGCTCTGTGTCTGAGCTCTGACCCTCTCTGACCCTAGAGTAGTCCCTGAGTCTCTGTCTGTGCGTGCCCAAGCTGCAAGTGCAACCCAGCCTCCGCACCCCAGTAGGCGTATCAACAGGGAGAAGAAAATACAGAAGAGATTATATCCCGCCCCCTCCCGGCGGCTCCCCGTCTGTGACCACAGTACAAGCCCACACACACAACCTGAAGGTCACAAACTCAAAAGCGCCGCGTCCTCGCCGGGAGGACGCAGAGAGAGGGGCACTCGCGCGACCGCACATCTCGACGTGCATCGCCCGCACGTCTCCATCTTCATATCATCCCGCGCATGGGGATCGCACTCAGGAAAGCGCCAGCCCCTTTCTGACTGAGTGGCTCGTGCGCTTGCCAAGCCTTCTGCCTCTGGCGGGCGCGATGCGGCTGCTGTTGGCAAGCACCCCGCCGAAAAAGGCATCGGCCAGGGAGATGATGCACGCCAGAGGTGCAGGAGCAGCAGCAGATCAGCTCTCGTTGTCTGCGGCGAAGCTCACTCGCTTTTTGCCGCCGCTCGACCTTTGGAGCGCTGTCGCAGCCGCGTTTTGTGCGAGGGCCTCTGCGCGAGTGGAGCGGAAGAAGAGCGAGCCGGACCTTACGTACACCACGTCCGAGCGCGCAGACTGCAGCTCCTCGCGCTGGATCTGGAGCAGGCGGAGGTCGGTGTCGCGTGGCCGAGCCGGCAGCTGGCTCGTGCTTGGCATAGAGTGGTCCGGGCTGTGATTTCTTTCAAAATTAAAACTCCTGGGCTCTCAATGCCTAGCCCGCCGTTCTGTCAGCCGCGGCCCGCATGTCCAGACAGTGCGGGCCTCGACGCCACACTAGGTCCATTGGGTTGAACCCTGGCTTGTCTCGAAGGTGAGGTATAGAGGGTCACATGGGGAATGCGAACTCGTCATGATGCGCGGCGACGGCGGCGTCGATATCTGTCGACGCCGCCGCCCCGCGCTCCAAAACGGTCGCGTACGCATATGCGCACAACTAGGTACGTGCCAACCCGCATGGGCCAGACACCGTCAAAGGTCCCTCTCCACTCCTCCTTGCACCACTGAAGCATATGCAGCTGATGTGAGCAAGGTCGCCTAAGCGGCCCCCCTCGCTGTGGGTTGCCGTAGTTGGACCAATGCCACGCGTTGTGGCGAAGATGGCCTTATGCAGAGCCTGGCCGGGCCGTCTTCGGGCCCGGCCGCCCTAACAGTACGACGCATACGCGCCGCGACCGCTTCAAGTGTCGCCGCCGCCGCAAGGCGGACGGCGCCCGCCGCCCAGCCAACAGTGGCTAGGGCGGGGGAAGGGTGGATTCGAGCCGCCCGCACGCTCGTGCGGTAGGGAGGCTCGTGTAAAGCACGCCGTGCGCAAGCACAGGTGCGCGTTTGAAGCATTCGAGTCGCAGCAGCGAAGGCTGCTGTTTACTGGTTTGTGGCACGCCACGCATCTCGCGCGGTGAGTGCTGAGATACGCCCCGAGCACGATCGCCGGGGCGGCTGCATGACTAGAACGACCCGTGCCGTGGCACAGGTCGAGTAGAGAGGGCCGCACACGCGTCCTTGCGGGCGGCCCGTTGTGAAGGATCGAGCACACCGAAGCGAGGTGTGCTCGTGTTGCAAGTGTCGCCGCCGCCGCAAGGCGGACGGCACCCACCGCCCAGCCAACAGTGGCTAGGGCGGGGGAAGGGTGGATTCGAGCCGCCCGCACGCTCGTGCGGTCGGGGGCTCGTGTAAAGCACGCCGTGCGCAAGCACAGGTGCGCGTTTGAAGCATTCGAGTCGCAGCAGCGGAGGCTGCTGTTTACTGGTTTGTGGCACGCCACGCGTCTCGCGCGGTGAGTGCTGAGATACGCCCCGAGCACGATCGCCGGGGCGGCTGCATGACTAGAACGACCCGTGCCGTGGCACAGGTCGAGTAGAGAGGGCCGCACACGCGTCCTTGCGGGCGGCCCGTTGTGAAGGATCGAGCGCGCCGAAGCGAGGTGTGCTCGTGTTGCAAGTGTCGCCGCCGCCGCAAGGCGGACGGCGCCCACCGCCCAGCCAACAGTGGCTAGGGCGGGGGAAGGGTGGATTCGAGCCGCCCGCACGCTCGTGTGGCCGGGAGGCTCGTGTAGAGCACGCCGTGCGCAAGCACAGGTGCGCGTTTGAAGCATTCGAGTCGCAGCAGCGAAGGCTGCTGTTTACTGGTTTGTGGCACGCCACGCATCTCGCGCGGTGAGTGCTGAGATACGCCCCGAGCACGATCGCCGGGGCGGCTGCATGACTAGAACGACCCGTGCCGTGGCACAGGTCGAGTAGAGAGGGCCGCACACGCGTCCTTGCGGGCGGCCCGTTGTGAAGGATCGAGCGCGCCGAAGCGAGGTGTGCTCGTGTTGCAAGTGTCGCCGCCGCCGCAAGGCGGACGGCG